ATTATATTATTATTATTTTTATTACTTTTATTATTATTGAACTGAACTCGCGATTCCTCGAAATTTTCCTCTTTTTTTTTCTATATTTTTTTTTGCTTCCGAGAAAAAACAGGAAGATCGACGACCGTCGTGATGAGTTTTCGCTTTCGAAATGTATATGTTTACCTGAAAGCGAATCGAAACGCGTCAAGTATATTGTTTCTTCATCTTTTTTTCTTTTATTCTTTATTTAACGACTCGTTTCACGTACGTTGTACGTACTCGAAGAAATATTCCTCCTCCTTGTTCCGTTTCCCGGTGAATTTCGCGAAACACCAAGGACCTGTACGTTTCTTTACTTTTTCTTTTTTTTCTGCTTTCCGTTTCACAACTTTTCTGTGCAATTTTATTGCATGAACGTGTTAAGGATTTCCGATTCTTTCTTTTTCTACGATGTTCAATTGTTCGATTCCCGAATCGAACGAAACAGAGTTTAATATATATACACTTTTCCATAAATATATATAGTAAATATATATAAATACTTGTATTATATCACTCGTATGAGAAATTGGTTTCTAGTGTCGTTGTAATTTAATGCAGTTTATTTAATTCTTTCTCTTCTATCTATCTATCTCTCTCTCTCTCTCTCTCTCTCTCTCTCTCTCTGTCTCTTTCAGTATTCTTCTTTCTCTCTTCTTTTTGTAACGTACCAGAAGAAACGAACACGAAGAGAGCACGACAGCGTATAGTCGGTGGAAGAAATATAGGAAGATCGTAGAAATCAGGCGTCGATATTTATACTTTCGAGCGAATCGACAAAACTGAGAAGGCAAAGAAACCGAAATCTCAGTTTACGGTTCCTTCGAGCGTGTCTCACCTTTCGTTCGATCTTAAAACGAAGAATGCTTTATTACTACTCAACGCTTCACATTCACCACATATCGCTGTATTTCCTCCATCGATCGATACACATAGCAAAAGAGAATCCTCGTTATTCCAGCGTTTAATTAAACACTTCACTCGGCCGACAAGAATAGAGAGTGCGGCTGCCGTGGAGAACGCCACACGCGACGATCTCGCTGACATATTTATAATGCACTCGCTTGCCAAGCATTTAATACACCATTATTCCTCTGTAACCTATTACACGATTCGATCGGCATTATCGATCGTTGTCCGTATTTATGTTTAAAAAAAAAAAAAAAAGCAAGAAGAAAAGGGAAAAAAAAAGCGAACAGACAGACAGAACGAAAAGGAAGACCTGCGGCGAATATGCAATGAAACAGTCTTCGGTTACAGCCACGATGTTACTTTTGTCTCTGCGCTCGAGCTACAGAGGTTCGAAATAAACTTTTTATCGAAATCATTACCAATAGTTCGTATTTGTGTTCAGTTCTCTCTCCCCCCGTATTTACTTCGAAGTGTCTTTTTAAAGGAGATTTAAAAGGTCATCACGCATTCTTCAAACTCGATTTCGTTCAACTCGTCTTTATTTGTAATTATTATTATTATTGTTGTTATTATTGTTATTATTTCGAATGATCGAGATCGCCTCCTGGAGTTGGGGGGAGACTCGATCGAGGTACGTTGTCCCTTAAATAAGTGTACATCGATTAGAGAGAATTCGTAAGGTGCGTTATGGATAAATCGAAGACACCCTTGCGAAAGCGAGAGGATTTTGTTCGAAAAAAAGCATTTTTACAAAAACAAACCACTGTTCTTATTTTTCTCGTGGTACTCGTGGAACGTAAAAATATTATATACACGAGTAGAAATTAAAATTACAATCTCGTCGAAGGAGATTTTCAGAAGAAATTAAATTAAACGAAAAATCTGTTTCTGGAAAATAAAAAGGAATAATTCTGTCGCTTTCACAGGCATGTCGTCGATAGAAGAAGAAACTCGCGCGTCACCGATAAATATCTCCAAGAATTATTTAGTACCGAGAGAATTACGGATTTTGGTCATCAATGCAAATATCCACAAGAATAACCGTAAATATCTCGAAATTCGCACGATCACATTGGTGACGATACTTTTCTCACCCCCGTATACTAACGACGTTCGCCGCGTCGATTGTACGTCTATTGAAAGTTGCCTTTGCACCAAAATGCGAATATCCTCGAGGAAAGCACAAGTTTGCGTGGATAAATTCCAAGTAGAGGAAAACACGTCGAATTCTCGTCGTTCGAATCGAACACCGACTAGCTTTTCCCCAAATTTCTCTCCTCTTCGTGATTACATATCGCGCCACGCTGATCGAAAATGGAGTATCGAAGAATCTCGAGTATACTTCTGAGTTAATACTTCGACGAGTGTAAACTTTTTTCTTACTTTCAAAGCTGACGTTTTCAGCGCGCACTCTGCGTTTCGTAGATAGCAGACGAAGAAAGACGACAGATTTTGTACTTGCAACCCTAATCAACCGGTTGGTAACACGAAATAACGTTGAAGAAGAAGAGTCAAGAGGTGTGTTCGCGGTATCGAGAAGATCTCGGTTCTCGTGTGACAGCAATTTAATTGTAAATTCGAACGAGGTATCGTCGAGGATCCGTACAGATAACGAGACGCAACAAGTGTATCGAATGGAAGTCTCGTTGAGAGTGTATGCACAGGTTGGATCGATTTGTCCAGCGAAAAAAGCGAAGAAGCTTTCGATCTAAGTGTCAACTGACTTGGAATGAAGTACCAGGTCAATGAAACAGGCGATTTTAGATCATCTTTAAGAGTATCGTACAAGCGTCCTAATGTAAATGTTCCTTTTTCAGAAAATTGGTACAATTCTTCTTTGGAATACTTCTCTGAATCGAACTCTCGGATGTTGAGTTTCTATGAAAAACAAATACCTGCCGACGAAAAAATACATATTTGCCAGGTATACAATAGCGATGTTCTTTCTAACTCTCTAAAAATCACTGTTCGCCGTTAAATTCTCGACGTTCTTTTTTCTCTCTTTTCTCCGCTGATGGTCGCCTGAAAGGATATATCATCGAGGATAGTTTCCAACACGTTCGATCGATCTTCGTTTCGTTCCTGATCAACGTAGATTGTCAGCGGTTGTTTGAAGAGTTTCAACAGGCTGCAACGAGGCTGCTGGTTTGTGTGTATGTAAGAGGAACGCGATAACGAAGACGAGAGGCAAACGAACGCGTGGCATTTCGTGTGAAGTGCGTGGACGGGACAACAGAGTGTCGAAGACATCACAGAAGCGCGATAGGTCCCAGGTTAGTGGGCCTTGTTGTAGGTGTCCTTGTTTTGGTAGCCTTGCACGTAGCCCGACTGGTCGGGGAGATCCTTTCGTCCAGCGATACCTTTGCCCCGGCCGCTCTCGTCGAACCGCTGCTTGTGCGAGCCGGTGTACTTGCTCACGTCCGTCAGTCTGTCCACCGTGGAGGCAGCTTTTCCTGGCTGGAAAGGAGAAAGATTTTTTTAGGAATTTTCTGGAGATTGGTAGTCTTTGAGATCTCAGGTATTATTGAAAATTAGATCTATAGGTGACTTCGTTACTTATATTTGTTGAGAAATGGTAATCTTTGAGATCTCAGATATTATTGAAACTTAGGTCTCTGTGACTTCATTGACTCGTATCTTTAAGATCTGCTAATCTCAGTGACGTCAGACACTTTTAAGGATTGATAGTTTTTGAGATCTTAGGTATTATTGAAATTTAGATCTCTGTAACCTCGTTGACTCGTATCTTCAAGATTCGCTAATCCCAGTGATCTCAGACATTTTTAAGGATCGACAGCCTTTGAGATCTTGGGTATTATTGAAACTTAGATCTCTCGGCAACTTGCTTACTTATATTTTTTCAGGATTAGAAGTCTTTCAGATCTCAGGTATTATTGAAAATTAGATCTCTGTGACCCCATTGCCGCACATCTTTAAAATTCGCTAATCCCAGTGATCTCAGGCATTTTTAAGGATTGGTAATCTCTGAGATCTCAGGTATAATAAAAGATTAGATCTCTCTGTGACTGATATTTTTAAGACTCACTAATCCCAGTGATCTCAGAAATTTTTCCCAATTTAAAAATTGGCACTCCTCGAGATCTCAGGTATCATTAAGAATTAGCTCTCTGTCTACGTCCATTAACTCATATCTTCGAGACTCACTAATCTCAATGATCTCGGACACTTTTTTCCAATTACATCACCGTCAATTTCCGCAAATTCTCCGAATTATTTAAGAAACGTAGCTCCAATTAACGCGAAGATTCTACGATCGCAACTCGTGGGCGACAATTTAAGATTCATCGTAGAAGTAAACGTGGACAGGTCACAGGCTATGTCGACGTCGTAAATCACCAATGTCGATATACCGTGACAAACAAGGTCGTGACGTTAAATAGACAAACTACCTTCACTTTTTTCAACGTAGATTTATGAAATCGTGGGAGAGAGTCGTACAGTGATCGATAGTACTGCTTACTTAACGTGGACGTGACCGTGTCCCCTATTTGTCGTCACTTTGGAAGTGAACTATAAGAACCGTGTAATCGATAAGCAAACTTTCAACGTTCTTGTATTTATAATAAACTCACTCCTCCAGCGCCACCGGTGAAACCAGGTGGTCCACAATTCGCCATTTTCTTCTTCATCGTCGCTAAGTCCACCTTCTTGTTATTCGCTAGATCCTCCAAGAACGATTTGTACTGCTCGATACCCAATTTCATAGATCTGCAAATCCAACGAATTTCAAAATTAAAGTAACAACATTTCAATAAATAACATGAAATTTTTCATAAAGAAATTTAACTAACTTCAAATTTACATTATATCCTTTTAATTACTATTTCTCAGACTTAGTTTTAAACAGAGAAATTTATAGGAAAATTAAATATTTGGAAGAAAAGGAAAACAAAGTTGTATCCTTTGAATCACTATTTCTCAGACTTATTTTGGAAGAAAAGGATAAAACAAAATTGATGAAATTTTGATCAAATTATTTCGCCATACTTGTGCTTCTTAAAGTAAATCCCTGTATCGGTGGTGGTGATCTTCTTTCCATCGATCACTTTCGCCTGCTTCATCCACTTGTCGCTCTGACTCAGAGTGATCAGCTTGCCGTCGCTTTTCGGGTCACCGAATTTCGAAAACGCCTTGAAATTGGGCAAAAAACTGCCAGACTGAGTGGCGCCGGGACTGCTCGGCGTCGAATTTCCCGACTCATCTTCGATTTTCAAATTCGCCGTCTTGCTGGCTACAACATCTTCGGTGGACTCGTTACCAGCCTCGTTCGTTTCCGTTTTAACCTCGTTCTTCTCTATCTCGGTATTATTCTTCTCCTCGTTCTCCAACTGAGAGTCGTTCTTCCCGTTCGTTTCGTTCTCGGCTTGCATGCTTGCGCCTGAAGTCGAAACAGAATCTCGATTTATCAAACCTCTCGTGACCCAGAAAAGAAAGGAAAAGAAGGGAAAATGTTGAAAATCTATCGCATGACTCCAAGTGGAAGACTGATATCAGGGTCAAGTTTGAGTGAAAAGAAGAAAACGGGAACGAAGGTGTATCCATACGGTGTTCCACGCTATTAAACGTTTCGGTAGACACGACGACGACGTTTTGAGGTCAAGTAACACGAGCTATCGATTTAACATAATTCTCGTAGGCGGTACTGTGCAATTCACACTCGTTTGTTAATGATGGATCGAACAGAGGGGGATTAATACACTCTTTAATCGGCACAGGTTACACACGCGTTACGTAAAGTTGGATACTTAAACGGGCAAATGTAATCTTCTCTGGTGGTTTCGTTTGTTAACGTCTCTTTGATCTAGCGGAGGTGCAGATTGAAGTGACACAGAACGAGCTAATAATCTTTCATAAGGATGTATTCTGTGAGAAAATGAACTCTGATACTTAACCAGGGAATATAGTCTTCTCTGATCATTTCTGAATTAACAGAGTTTCAAAGTGAACTAATAAAGACCGAGCTAACAATCATCCATAAGAATTACTTCTATGAAAAAATGAACTGTGACACTTGAGTAGGCAAATATGGTCTTTTCTGGTAATTTCTGAATTAACAGAGTTTCAGATTGAACTACTATAATAACCTTCCATAAGAATGAATTCTATGAAAAAGTGAACTGATTCTTGAATAGGCAAATATAGTCTTCTCTGGTAATTTCTAAACTAACAGAGTTTCAGGTTGAACTAGCAAAGATTAAGCAAATAATATTCCATAAGAATGAATTCTATGGAAAGGTGAACTCTGACACTTAAATAGGTAAATACAGTCTTCTCTGATCATTTCTAAATTAACAGAGTTTCAAATTGAACTAATAAAGATTGAACTGTTATAATAATCTTCCATAAGAATGAATTCTATGAAAAAGTGAACTGTCATACTTAAATAGGCAAATACAGTCTTCTCTGATCATTCCTGAACTAACAGAGTTTCAGATTTAACTAATAAAAGTTGAACAATTAAGTCATCCCATAAGGTCATGCCAAAAGTAAAAAATAATTTGAGTAAATATGAATAATTTGAATAAAATAATCTTACCAAAAAAGAAAAAATAGAAAAATGTTGCAGAATGAAAAGACACTTCCTTTTCTTTTTTTTTATCAAATTTAAAGGTTCGTTGGAAATATCGATCAAAATTCTAAAATTCGCGAGACAACTTACGAAACGACCTAGTATAATAATCTTCCACGAGAACGAATTCTGCGAAGAAAATCTGGAAGTAATCTTACAGGTGATTTAAGTTAATCTGTTCTTCTTTCCCGACCAAGGTAATCATTCTCAGGGTCGAGAAATAGGATTATCGATAGACTCCTATTGGAAATAGTTGGATTCTTCTGTATTGGTTTGTTTACAGCGTGGACCTTATTGTACGGAGGTTGGCCATTGTCGAGGATCGAGGATTCCTCGCAACAATGGAACGACTCCGATTTAGCTTTCCCAACCTCTAGAAAGAGTACCTCTCCGTTCAATTATTCAAATCTCCTATTCTCCTCCCGGCTAATGGTCTCTCTATGCGAAAATAACAGGAATTTAGCCCGTATGTGCTTTGGAAAATTGTACCCTTTCATGCTACGGCTCGTTTCATTATGAATCGACGTTTTATCGTACCGTTGATAGCTTCTAAATAGCACTTTGCGCTATACTTTTCAGTGGGTGAATTTTCATCTCGTGAAATGAAGCGAAGTTTAGCGTTTCTGTCGAAGAAATAAGATTAGCCAATAAAGTGTTCATTCATCTAATCAAGACGCTCTGCACTATGGTTGCCATTGGGGAATTTTTATCTCCTAAAATGAAGCGATGTTTCGGGTTTCGAACGATCCAGCTAATGAAATCGTCGTTTGGCTGATTGATAATGATTTAGATCATTCGGATCGTGTAAAAATCGTTTAATTTGGTAAAACGGAGCGAAGTTAATTGGGCGTTCTCCAATTCTTATCTTTATCGATAAAATGAGATCGAGCTAATGAAATTATCATTCACCTAATCAATAATTCACACGATTCACATCGTGTAAGACACTCTACGCTATAGTGTCCATTGGGGAATTTTTATTTGGTAAAACGGAGCAAAGTTTCTCATTTCCATAAAAAGTAAGATTAGCCAATAAAATCGCCATTCGTCTAATCAAGACACTCTGAACTATGGTTGCCATTGGGGAATTTTTATTTGATAAAGTAGAGCAAAGTTGATAGAACATTTCTCAATTCTCATTACCAATAAAATCGCCGTTACCTAATCAATAAAAATTCACCTCACACAAAGCACTCTGCACTGTAATTCCCCAAACAGAGGAAAGTTAATAAAATGTTTCCCAATTCTCTATCGAAAAAAGTATAAAACAAAGCCGATAAAAAATGAAATCGTTATAATTTACCAGAAACCATATCTCGTCTCCATCGAAAAGATCAAATCAAGCCAATAAAATCGTTACAATTTACCTAATCAATAAAAATTCACCCACACAAAGCACCCAACCCTACAATTTCCCAAACAGAGCAAAGTTAATAAAACATTCCTCAATTCCCTCAAAAAAAAAAAATTAGCCAAAGCCAATAAAATCGCCATTTACCTAATCAATAAAAATTCACCCACACAAAGCACCCAACCCTACAATTTCCCAAACAGAGCAAAGTTAATAAAACATTCCTCAATTCTCTCAAAAAAAAAAATTAGCCAAAGCCAATAAAATCGCCATTTACCTAATCATTAAAAATTCACCCACACAAAGCACCCAACCCTACAATTTCCCAAACAGAGCAAAGTTGATAAAACATTCCTCAATTCTCTCAAAAAAAAAAATTAGCCAAAGCCAATAAAATCGCCATTTACCTAATCAATAAAAATTCACCCACACAAAGCACCCAACCCTACAATTTCCCAAACAGAGCAAAGTTAATAAAACATTCCTCAATTCTCTCAAAAAAAAAAAATAAGCCAAAGCCACTAAAATCCTCACAATTTACCAGGAACCACATTCGCCATCTAATCAATAACAATTCCATCATTCGTGCAATCAATCGATCGATACCTCCCGAACGATAATCTAATCGCGACAACAACGACTTGTTTTCCACTGAACCAAGGACGAAAACTCAATTCCCTCTCTACGATTACACGCTGGGCGAATTACTATGTATATCGAAACGAAAGACCAGCTTCCGCAGCCCAACCAACTTCTAACCCGATGTTATCTTCCAACCTAACGACATCGACATACCGATACAGATCACGCATCGCAATTGTCCCATCTTACTAAACGATTTTCCTCGCGAAACAATCAGCCGAAGCCTCTTCTAAACAGTCGGAACGCCACGAATCCAGGAAGGCCGCGTGTGACACGCTGTTATTTCACGACTATAAATAGAAATTACGCCGACTATGCCGCGTTAGCGCAATTAGCAAGGAAGAGGAAACGGGGGGAAGGAGCGATTGAGTAATGCCGATCAGGTGTCAAACCGGCTGTATAGCTGCGTGCCTCGAGACACAGGAGAGTTTCTACGACACTGACCTTTCGTTCCCCGGATCTTTGATCTTTGGACGGGAAATTTTTAGGCGAACAGACTATTCTACTCTCTGCGAAACTTTGACCATTATGAAACTTTGTCAATTATGTTTGCTGTGGTTATTCAAATTTTGTACAGGTACTTCTGGTTCGTCTTTTAGGAGGATCTATGAGCAACTCTTGTATAGTGTGAACGTGTTTGTACTGTGTGTTATGTTGCAAGCGTGTTTAACTTCTTGACTCAGGTCCTTTTCGTCTTATGATTATGGACATGAGCGTGAGCTGTTTACTGTTTTAGTAGAGTGTTTTTGTGTTTGGTAATTTGCAGTGGTAGGAATTGAAGGGAAAGTTAGAATTAGGTGTTAATATTTGTTGCTAATGTATAGTCACTGTTTTTGTCGCAACTATGCTGGAATATGTGTTAAGAGTTTGGCTGGTTGTGATAAGACACTGGATTAAGTAAAGTGGTTATTCTTTGGAATAATTAGACACTGATTTATGCCTCTCGTTAAGATATAAAGTAGTTTTTCTTCTTACGAGCTAAGGAAAATCAGGTTGTAGAGGGTTAAACAAAGTGTTTGTGCAAGTGCATAGAATATTATATAGAAAGTTGAGATTTGATTCCATGGAATGAAGAAAATGATTTTTAAAAGATTTTTAAAATTGACCATATAAAACGTAAAATTGGCTATGAAAATTCTGTACTAATAGTTGAGTCAGGTGCTAGTATAAGTGGACAGAACGATGCATACAAAGTTCAGATTTAATTCTATAATTTTTATTTCAAAAATTCTTAATCATTTTCAAAATTGTGTACAATTCAACTTTCCACTACTTTCTGCAAATAATCGAGTCTACCATAAGTGTGATATCTTTAACCATAATTCGACCAAATATTTAACCGCAACAACAACCACTTGTCCACAGAATTCCCATCACATCAAAACTACCTGCAAAATGACTGCACTGCACGAAAAGTACCTAAACACTCTACCATCACCTTCCTAATCTCTCTAACCGTACAGAAACTATTCCACGCGAATTCCACGATACAAACACCATAACATCGAAACATACTCGAAACTCACCGTTGTCAGTCATTCTCAGCTGAACAATCCTTAACAAAGTCCTAATTACAGGTAAATACGAAATATCCGGATACCAATCTTCTCTCTATTCACTGTCTCATCGTTCGTCACGAATCGAAACGTATTCGTCAACGTACTCGTTCGATCCAACTCTGTACCGCGAATGAGAAAGAGATAAGCGACGAACGGTTTCGCGACAGACGACTCGTCGTCGTTCTGTACGGGAGAAGGAAACGGAAAGCACTGTACCGCGGTTTGTGTATACAAGAGTTGAAAAGCTGTTGAACGCGTGTGTTTCGCCGTGAAATCTGCGCGCCCCAGGGCGCATGTGTTATATCGATCTCCCCGCTGCCTCGCGGACCATGCAGTCACCCTTCCCAATATATATCTTTGAAACAGCGTTTCACCCTTGGCTGCAGCCGAAATGAGAGGCCACGGGGGTCCGTTCCTCTAACAAAACGAACCCCACGTTCACGATCGGACCAACTATTAAAATCCTCGATCGTGATGCTAGGAAGGTTCTTTTTTCTCCAGTCGACCAGGAGGAACATGATGGCCTAGGGATGGGATTACAGGGTTCGATATGTTCTTCGTGTTGTTATCGTGAAGTATTTTCTTTTTTATTGTTAGTCTTACGAGGGAACTTCGGTGGCCGAAAATTCGGGATTGTTTGAAAAGTTGCAGGTTTGCAGGGGTCTTTGGGAGAAGTGTCGGGCAATTTTTCAGTTCTTTGGGGTGAAAACAGCCCTTATGAAGTAGTCACCAATTTGCACCATTACTCACTCTGGACTCTTCACTTTTCCAGTCTTCTCTCGACTCTCCTACACAGTCATAACCCAAAGTTAATCTCCTCAAATCCTTAAATTGTCCTGTTTTACCATCCTCGATTCGTTCTCTGTATTGTCATCCGCACGTCACGTTTCGCCGGTTTTAATAAAGTTTCTTTTCTACACGA